GCATGGCTAAACTGTAGGGAGCAGAAATAGCGTCATAGAGAAGTGGATGTGTGAAAAACATGTTTCATACAGGATCCATTTCTGAGGAGGTACTTACTGATTCGTCCAGAGTCCTCTTTGCAAAGGTTTGCTCTACTTGGGAGGTATGACCTTCCATATCCTCGCGGTAGGGAGGGCGTGGCTGCGTACTTCATTTGAACATCTTGCAGAAAACGTTCCTCTTGGTACATTTACGATCGAGGCAGCTGCCATCGTGTCATTTACTGAACGAAGCATGATTACAATTACCCCAAACGGCATTATCTCTCCGAAAACGCACGCTCCGTTGGAGTATTCAGCCATGCCCTCCCGCTCTGAATGCAATGTAGTCCAAACACTGTTTTGTCCCTGAAATGTTGACGTAATGACCTTAAAGGCACTTTCCGCGATAAACTAAGGGTATGATCTCTCAAATGTGTCAGGTGATCCGGAAGGCGATTCCGGAGGGTGTGCCATCATCAAAAAGCGAAAATTGGCAAGAACTACGCTGGAAGCTGACCAGTTAGGCCCACCGCTACTGGCTGCTAGCTACTAGCTAGTAGCCACTATGCTATCTCTCTCCATTCCGAATGGTGAGAGTGAGGTGATAAGATAAAAGAGCTGATATCTTTATGATAACGACGAGTGGAAATTCGTACAAACACGCTTTCTCTTCATTGCATGCACGTACAAGTTGGGGTCGGCATGGAGTCCTATTTAGGGCATTTGGAACTGCTTTGTCTGCTTCTTTTTTCACTGATCACTTACCTAGTCCTTTGACGTTTGTATTTGAGCTCCGTTACCAGCAATCTGTGGTCGCGGACTTTGTCTTTAATTATCCACTGTGATTTGGGGAAAGCGTGGGTATCCGATTTCACGAAGTATTCCACAAAATCTGTGGTCAGTTAACAGTGCGTTCCCACAATTCAATAACTTGTACCAGATTCCATTAGTGTTTTTTGGTATACTACTTTGCGATTGAAATGCGTAACTATTATAGTTAAGTATTTTATGGGAAATGTTCGTTTTTAGTATGCCATAAACAAATACAATTTGCGTCGGATATTAGTTCTTGACTGGGACGTGCACCATGGCAACGGGACGCAAGAAATCTTCTCCGAAGTAAGTACGCTGCTCTTGTTGAACCATTAATCATTACCCTGGAAGGTTTTTGCAGTACTCAATTGCAGGATGATCGCGTGTTGTACATGTCTATTCATCGTCATGATGAGGGAAGATTCTATCCCATGGGTGAACCAAAGGATTATATGGATGTTGGTGAAGGAAAAGGAAAAGGATATTCCGTAAACATTCCATGGAATCATGCCAATATTGGCGATGATGCATACCGCGCAGCATTTGCCAAAGTTAGTCGCTAATTAATTGCCCTTGGTTTTTTATTAGATTCTGCGATATTTGTTCAGATAATTATGCCGATTGCCTACGAGTTCAATCCTGAGATGGTTTTTATTTCTTCCGGATTTGACGCTGCGACCGGAGATCCTCTTGGCGAATACAAGGTGAGTCTAAAAGGAAAGTGGCGCGATAAATCCTTAAGACGTGTGGGATAAACACGCCTAAGTGAGCAAAATTCGGCGCCCTTTAACAGCTGCTGCAGGCGCCTTGTTCAACTGTAATACCCTTATGACGCCCTACAAACCTCCAGCATGCCATCCCGGACGCCCACGGCATCTCTCCGCCCACAGTTGTCCGTACAGTTCTATCGGCGTTGGTGCTCTGTTTCTTCATTTGGGAGTCCAATTGACATGAGGCGTTGCTACATGGATATATGAATACATACGTGCAGGCGTATCTCCCAAAGCAGTTGTTGGCACGATGGCAAGGGGAAACTCGTCCAGAATTGCTCGTTAAATGCTGTGTAGAACAAAGGCTTTTCGCAGGTTTTTGGCCATTCACCTTCACTTTCTTCCTCATTTTTTCACTATATCGTACCGCTGCTGTCATTTCTGAGCAAGTACCAAATTATCGTGCCTTATGCCTTTAAAGGGAAGTGACGCGATAAATACCTGAGAAGTGTAGGATTAATACGCCTAGCAGGACACGATTCAGAGATCCTGAGCAGGCCTGTGTGGCGCCTTTTCCTAGGAAATGCTCCAATAGTGCCC